AAAAAAACAGGTCGATAGTGGCTCACATGACTCTTGAGTTATTCTGAGGGTTACAGAGCTTTATATGAAGAAGAAGATGGGTCAAGACATAAATTGTTCCTCAAGTGATTTCTCTCCAAGCTTTGTAGTAGTTTAGCAAAAAAGAAAGTTCTTGTGGCTGAGTGGTTAGAGCAGTCGTCCTCCAATGCAAGAGTTGAAGGTTTGAATCCACCAGCAGTCACATGCAGAAGTGTCACTGGGCAAGACACTGAACCCCTCATAACCTCCGATGTGTCGGTGTATGAATGTGATAAAGCTCTGATTAGTCTAGTTAGAATGATTTGTTCAATTAGCTTTGTAGAGATCTAGTAGAGTGCTGTTTGAATGGGTAAATGAGGCACAGATTGTAGTGGAAAGCACTTTGAGTATCTTGATAAGATGGGAAGGCAATATATAAGTACAGTCCATTTGTTTCCCCCATAAAATAATTAAAAAAGAATTATTATTAAACTAAAAGTTTGATGTTTGGGGTTGATTTCCTGCTGTAGAGTAATTTGTAGCCAATGAGAATTTGCTCAAGCCCCGATGGTTTTAAATTATAAATATGAACACAATTCAGAATTATACATCTCCTTAAATAAAACCCAGTTACATTTTGCAAATAGGAATAATGAACCTTATACTTATTTGTCTAGAAGAATTAAGTTGAAGTTATAACACCTGGGATTTTCATGACCTTTTCAGTTAAAATGTCTGCTCAGGAAAAGGTCTTGGACATATAGTTAAAGAAAAATGAAAACAGAACAAGCTTATCATTTCTAGAAATAATACATATGCCTTTCATACCCATGCTTTAAACAAATGCTAAAAAAATGGAATTGTAGCTGCTTGGGTCATCCATACATCCATTATGTTTACCCGCTTATTCCATTTTGAGTCACGGGGGTCGCCGGTGCCCATGTCCAGCAATCATTGTGCGAGGGGCAGGGTACACCCTGGACGGGTCGCAAGTCCATCACAGGGACACATAGAGACAAACAAGACAAACAACCATTCACTCTCACTCACACCTAGGGACAATTTAGAGTTACCAATCAGACTAACATGCATGTTTTTGGTCTGTGGGAGGAAACCGGAGCACCCGGAGAAACCCCACGCATGCACGGAGAGAACATGCAAACTCCACCCAGAAGGCCCCTGGACCGGGGTTTGAACCAGGGACCTGCTCGCTGAGAGGCAGCAGCTCTACCAGTTGTGCCACCGTGCTGCCTCTGCTTGGGTCAAATCTTGAAAATATTATGTATGATGTTGTTATACAGCGAGATGTGACATGAACAGTATGTGTTGAAAGTGACTCTCAGCTACTACCACAACAAATGGATCTCAATATCTGTAAACGGACTGAGTTATACTGATTTTTGTGATGGTTAATTTTGATCAGCTCTGCTGGTTGCACTGATTTAAATAGACTCCAAAATGTAACTGGGTGTAATGTATTTCCAATTACTATTTTATGAAGGTTTCTTCATAGTTCATGGCAAAAAGTTAAAGATCTTTCACAATCTGTCAGTGTTCATATTGAGTTGAGGATCAGTCTAAACTACTACTACTACTACTGTTACTACTACTACTACTACTACTACTACTACTACTACTTCTACTACTGCTGTTACTATTTACTACTACTACTACTACTACTATTGCTGTGACTATTCACTACTACTACTACTACTACTACTACTACTACTACTACTACTATACTGCTGTTGCTATTTACTATTGCTACTTCTGTTACTATTTACTACTACTACTATTACTACTGCTGCTACTGTTACTATTTACTACTACTGTTACTACTGTTATAATCTACTACTACTGCTACTACTAATACTACAGTTACTATTTACTACTACTACTACTACAACTACTATTTACTGCTACTACTACTACTACTACTACTAATGTTAATATTTACTACTATTGCTACAATTTACTACTACTGCTACTACTACTACTGCTAACACTATGACTACTACTACTACTACTGTTACTATTTACCACTACTACTAATGCTACAACTACTACTACTTCTACTACTACTACTACTACTACTACTACTACTACTACTACTACTACTGCTACTACTACTACTACTACTACTACTGTTACTATTTACAACTACTGCTACTACTACTACTACTGCTGCTACTACTATTACTACTGTTACTATTTACTACTACTACTACAACTACTACTATTACTGCTGCTTCCACTATTTACTACTACTACTAGTAGTACTACTACTTCTACTACTATTACTACTACTACTACAACTACTACTACTACTACTGTTACTATTTCTACTACTACTAGTACTGTTACTATTTACTACTACTACTACTACTACTACTACAACTACTGTTACTATTTACTACTACAACTACTGTTACAATTTACTATTACTACAACAACTACTACTACTATATACTACTACTATTGTTACTTTTTAATACTGTTACTACTACTACTACTTTTACTATTTACTACTACTACTGTTACTACTACTACTTTTACTACTACTACTGCTACTACTACTACTACTACTACTAACTCCTGTCCCTATTTACTACCACTACTACTACTACTACTACTACTACTACTACTACTACTACTACTACTACTACTACTACTACTACTACTACTGGTACTATCTACATTAATCTAGAGTTAGAGTTACCAATTAACCTAACATGCATGTTTTTGGTATGTGGGAAGAAACTGGAGAGCCCGGAGAAAACCCACGCATGCACGGAGAGAACATGCAAACTCCACCCAGAAAGGCCCCCGGCCAGGATTTGAACCGGGGCAACCTTCCCGCTGAGAGGCGGCAGCTCTACCAACTGTGCCAATGTGCTGCTTCTGTCCTAATTCAACTCAGGAAAAAAAAAAAAAAAAACATTGAAAATTACAAGTCAGCATATGTACACAGTATTTCCAAGGCCCTAAACATCTCCAGAAGTTCTGTTATATCCATAATCAATTAATGGAAGGAATATGGAACATGTGTATATCAACCAAGAACAAGTCGTCCTACCAAACAGTGTGACTGTGCAAGAAGAAGACTAGTGAGAAAGGTCACCTAGACACCTGTGACTACTTTGAAGGAGTCACAAGCTTCAGCAGATAAAATGGGAGCGACTGTGCAGTAACTGTAACCAGAGTTCTTCACCAGTCTAATCTTTATGGGAAAGTGACAAAGAGAAAGAAGTGATGAAGAAAACTCATATTAAATCTTGACCAGATGTTGCCAAACTGTGTCAAGATTAGTCTAGATTAAATATTTGATTTACCGGTACTTCAAAATATATGCTTTGTAATACATTTGAAGGCAAATTAAATAGAATACTTTTTGTACTTTGTAGGTACTGTATGTATGTTTTTGTGAATTTTATAACTCTGAATTGTTGCTGTATAAAAAAAAGCTGCTGAATGAATAGTGCAAGTATACTGGTTTTGTGTATGTATTTTTGGAACAATAAAATGTCCAGAAGCCTGTTTGCTGTGCTTTCATAGTACTAGAAAATCCATTTGTAAGCAACATTTATTCATTTATTTACCAAAGAGAACTGCCTAAAGAAAATTAGCTTAATGCTATTATTTATCTGCTTTATTTCATTTACCTCTCCCCTATGATCTCAATAGCCTTTCTTTATCTATGCCAAGTATTTCTTTGACACCCCACACCCCCACACCCCACTGAGTACCAGTTTCATTGCTGTTGTCACATTGAAGCAAGGCAGGATAGCATAATAGTGCCTGAGCAGAGCTGAGCCTTGCTTTAATTGTAGAATGTCTGTGGTGGAAATTAAATCTCACTCAAGATTTAATGGTTGGGGATTAGGTCGAGCCCCAGGGTCGAGATCAACTATTCACATTGCTATTGACTTTGCAGCACTCAAGCTCCCAATCACGTTTGATTTAATGATGTGTGTGTGTTTGCAAATGCATGGCTGTAGAATGTGTGTGCACTGCATCGAAATGGTGTGATTGACAAATATGTAATATGTCTGTGGCAAAACATGAATCCTTGACAGCTCGGTGCCTGAGGCACAGCTATGTTGAGGTTTAGTACCTAATTTCCCTGGAATGAAAGCACCAGCTTGACTTTATTTATTTTTACTGAAGCTTTTTTTTTGAGGACTATACAGAAAAAAAATACACTACTAAATATACAACTGTAGTTGGAAAGAGAGATAGATGCCATGTAAAATCTGCCAAAACAATCCACTATAACCTAAAGTGTCTTAAACTGTTATATAGGGTATATTTTGTATCAAAGAGGGGGAATATTCTTGAAAATATTTATATGTAATTTATAGCTATTTGTGTTTTTTTCTCTTTCAGGTTGCCGAATGCCACTACAGTCATGGAACCTATAACAACATAACTCTTTACGCTCCATGAGGCTTTGGAGAAGAGGCATTTTTTGGTGAAACGATGGGCTTGCTGTATACGCCAGCGGACATCACAAACTTCTGAGACTCGTCGACATCAACTGCATCCTCTCTCCTCTTCTATTTCTATTTGTATTTGTCTCATAGATTACAGTATTTCCCCAGAGTTGTGGCGACAACTCAAATGTTGTAGAGATTGCACTGGTCAGAATTGCAGACATACATTGCAACTTTGATCAGAAGACTCAAGAGGAACAAACAGATGTGTTGAAATTCCTATATTTCCCCTCTTACTTTCCTGCTTTCTCACTCGTAGAGGCACCGACTAATGGAGAGATGAAGAAGGGAGTCAGGATAAGCACAATAATCAAAGTATAGAGGAGCAAAAGAAAATTTGCTTTGGCCTAAAATATTGAAACAGAGCTTCTGTGAGGATTACCTTATGATACAAAATTGTATTTCAGTTGTGTGATTAAAACTACAGTAGATCTAATTTTCAGCTCAGTGGTTTATTAGACATCAAAAAATCAAGAAGAGAAAGGAATACTTTAAAACTTTTAGCATGACCAGAAGGTTAAGAGTCCTGTGTTGGCCTCTGTGGCTCCCAGCCCTAGTCAGCATGCTTACCACAGTGAAGATGCTAGAATTTGGTGGGGCACCGGGCCAGTATGCACGCTACGGACGCTGGGAGGCTGGATCAGTGGGTGAGCTGAGCTTCAGTCTAAAAACCAACATCAGCCAAGCCTTGGTACTCTACTTGGACGACGGTGGGAACTGTGACTTCTTGGAACTACTGATTGGTGGTGGACGACTGCAGTTGCGGTTTGCTATCCACTGTGCTGAGCCAGCCATTTTGCACATGGAAACGCGAGTTAACGATGACCGCTGGCACATGGTCTTGCTCACCCGCAACTTTCGCGAGACCTTGCTAATGGTGGACGGAGAGACAAAAGTGGCTGAAGTCAAGTCGAAGAGGAAGGAGATGGCGGTTGTCAGTGACCTGTTTGTGGGTGGAATCCCTCCTGATGTGCGCCTCTCTGCTTTGACTTCCAGCACTGTGAAGTATGAGCCTCCCTTCCTTGGCTTGATCTCCAATCTGAAGGTGGGAGAGATGCCGCCAACTTTGTTAAATAGCCAAGGAATTCAGAGCGATCTGGAGTACCTCTGTACCAAACAGAATCCATGCTTCAATGGAGGGTTTTGTTCGATTCAATACGGAGAAGTTCACTGTGATTGCACCCACACCAGGTTCAGGGGCAAGTACTGCAAGGAAGGTAAGGAAAAGTTTCACTGTGCTTGCTTTTTCTTGGCTTGTTGCTTTTGTCCTTGGGCTGCATTTGGAGTATTGTGCCTGTTTTCATACACCAAAGTTATGTTGCAAATGGAATGTCTTATGGTTTGAGATTGAGAACATGTTTGGTATCACAGCTTGTTAGTACCTTGTTATTAGATTTGCACATGGGGTTTGCATATCTTATGTGAACTACTTGTATTGGCTGAACTTATCCAAGGAAACAAACAAAAAAAAATGTGTAACATTGCTGGTCCTAAAACTGAGAAGAAAAAAGTAATAATGTAGACATTATTATTCCTAAATATTTAAGATTTCAACAAACATGGACATTTTATTCCCTTTTTTAAACAAATGGCTCAAGATACAAATAGAATCATAACCTAATTTAAGTCATTAAACTATAATGCCTGCCTTTGTATTCCAGATTCATATGAATAATTTATTAGAGATTTTCTAGTATTTTTTTTCCACTTGAGTCAGCAACTTAAAATACAGTATATTGTCTGCCTGAACAGAGTCAAAGTTTTAATAAGATGACCTAGATTTTTGTTTCCTAATCTCTAACTGAATTCAGTGTAAGAATAAAGATGTGGTGTAAAAATGGTATCACAGGGTTTTTATTTTATTTTTTTATGTTGACTGTAAGATCTGTTTCTAAAGGCGATTCACATTGTTTTGGCTGTTTTAGACAAAAGTGTTTGTCATGGAAAGTGTTGGAAGAAGTTGTTGGTATAAGCTTGACTCAGTGATTTGTGGTCATTTAGTTTATCAACAGCTTATTCAGCCCACTTACTGACCAAAGACGACTTATAACAATTATCAAGCAATGTCAAAAATTTCTGGGAATGTGATCCAGATTTGGTACCAGATTTTGACTTGAACAAGCTCTGTGAGGGCATAGCCTTTGGTGCATGAAATACACAAATACATATTAATATTTGCAAAGCCTCATAGTTTTAAAGTTCAATGTTAAGAGGTTGGTGTTCAAGGAAATTATGTAGTGTATTTTTTGATAAACAAACATATTTCAGCTTTAGGGGTTTGGTTTATACACAGTATTTGCTCTTAATAAGCGCAAGTGAAGCTTTTTATTGGCAACAATGATATGATAAACTGTTAATGAGATTTTTGAAAGCAACATACCTTTTAACTGTAAGAACTATCCGTTTTTATATTAATTTTTATGGTGTTTCACATGGGTGGCATTAACAATGCTTTTTGTTTTATTATTATTTAAATTGAAATGTTCAGGTTCTACATTATTCTGTCGTTTATTGCTTATGTGACATGTGTTACTAACAAGATTTTAGAATTTCACACCTACACAATGTGAGCCAAGACAAACTTAACGTTATGGTTAGACCAGGATCAACCCAAATCAATCTACTGCCAAATATCAGAGCTCATTAAATGTTTTTTTTTTACTGGGGAATAAGATATATACTGGTGCCAAAGAGCTAAAATGCAATATGACACATTGGCAAAGAACTCTAGAGTTTTTCAGGTTCAGCAACGTTGGATTCATACATGGCTATGGCTGGTTCAAAAAAAAAAAAAAAAAAAGAATAAAAAATGAAATGGTAACTTTTCCCTGTAGCTGTTGGACTGTTTATGTTGGGGTTTGCAATGAAACTTTATCATTTAAAGCTTTCTGCTTTGGTTGTGTTCACTAAGTAGATCATGTGGTGAGCCATCAGGGGCGGCTTTTTAAAGCCGGATATCCGGGTACGTGGTCACATGTACACAGTGTACAAGTAGGCTGACATGATGGTTAATGAGAAAGTTTACAAAATTATGAAAAGTTGCTGTGTGGATGATTGCAGTTATAATGATGCATCCAGATTGAAAAGAAATATATTTATTCCATCTGCAAGTGTAAAGGGAAAATGGAAAGCTAATAGGCAATAGTCACAGTTTTTTTTAAATGTATTTTTGTTTAATTGTTGTATTTTGTTATTTTAAGGATGATAGTTAGATAGATAGATAGATAGATAGATAGATAGATAGATAGATAGATAGATA